TTGTAAATAGGGAGGGATGGAGGGTTGAAGGGAGGGCAGGGGAAGGGGGGAAAATAAGAACCAAGAGAAATTATGTAAAGGTGCAAATTTCCAATGATAAATGTCATTATATTGTGTACCTAAAATGTACCAATAAATTGATAAAAAAAAACCTGTAAGTCAGATTATTTTAAGTTCCCTAAGTGATTTCTCATTGCTGTAAAAATAAAATCGCACCTCCATGCCTTAAAAGATCTACATACCCTGGCCTCTGTCTAGCATGCTTCCCCAATCTTTTCCATGACTTTTCTGTTATTCAGAGCTCATTCTGGATCCCTCCAAAGTGCTGTCAGAACTCAGTGAGGACTTTTTAGTCTCTCGCCCCTCATCAGAAGCTCCTCATGGGCAGAAATGAAAGCAGTCCTTGGGTTCATTGCTGTGAGTGGTCTGGCATCTGAGCTGTGCTTAGAAACTCCTCAGTATCTATTTGGAAAATAAATTAATCTACTCTATTACCACAGAGATTTTTTGTGGTATTCCTCCAAACCCTCATTCCTGTAGCTCAGCAGCACAGCACCTGCCTGGCAAGCACTAGGGTCTGAGTTTGATTCCCGGTACAAAAATATTTAACAAAACCAAAACCCCCATTCCTGTTTCTTTTTCTGCCTTTCTTCCTTTCTTTTAATTTTAGGGTTCCAAAACAAATTCTCTGAAATAAACTTATCAAGTTCTCCTTAACTTGGCCCACAGTTCACCAAGATTAGACCATATGACTGCTTGAAGCCAGTCACACACGCACCAAGAGTTCTCGTAAGATGACAAGCCTTGGGTATGGATTTGATCGTACTGACTACCAACGGGACCTGGCATCACACACTACCCCAGTGCCGTGGAGCTGAAGGCAACCAAAACTCTCGATGAACGACTAAGCCAATGTCATGCAAACAGACCACTATTAATCTACATCTTCGTTAGCTCAGTGGTTCCGGCGCCTGCCTCTCAAGCGCAAGGTCCTGAGTTCGATCCCCGGTACCAAAAAAAAAAAAAAAAAAAAAAAAAATCTACATCTTTGAGTGGATGTTCTCAAAAATTCATTTAAAAAAGGTTTCTCTACCCTTCACATGCTATCTTGGATTAACTTTTATTACACCAGACTCATTGGTAGTTTGATTTCTTTCCAGAGTTAGAAACTGCCTTCCATGACACCAGACAGACCCATTTACAGAAGCCTCTGTCACAGAGAAGCAGAACTGAGGTTATTCAACTAGTTTTTGACTGAGTTTAACAATGCCATGCTTACTTGAATAAGCCCTGGTAAATCTATGCACCAAAGTGCATTTTTGGGTAAAGTAGAATGAATATGACTTCTGTGTACATCGAAATGAATGCTGTCAAGAAGTAAAAAATGACCAGAGAGGAAGTTTTATGAAACTAAAATAACTCCTAATACAGTTATTACAAAAGTAAAATGTCATTTCTCTTCTCTTAAAGGTGAAACTTAGCTTGATTATATACTAACTAGAGCAAAATCCAAAACACAAACAATTTAAATCACAAAATAAAGAGCAATGTTAAAAAACAGGGAGATAGACTCTGTAGAGATGGGGATTATGTATAATCCCTAAACTGAAGGTAAACACTATGTATTATAAATATGCACTGATAAAAATATTAACTAGATTGTTATTTTTCAGCTTTGAAGTCTGCGATTCCAACTCAGTTCAACAACTTCTATCGAGCAGTTATAGGTGGTGTTAACAGAAAATTGAAAGAATTTGTATAACACAATAACATGTTCAGTAGCTAGAACAGACTTTTTAACTAAAGGATAAAAAGATTATTTAGTTGTCAGGAACAAAAGAGAGACACATTATATATAGATTGTCTTGCTTTCAGGGAGGAACAAGGTAGAGACTATTCCATTAGATATGAAGACACAAATATGGTAAAACTTATTGATTCTAAGGGAAATAATTCAGTAGAAATAATTTCTCTGGGAACTTGTCTTTCCATCCTGAAAAGTTTAAAGACACCTTCTTGTCTGGTTTTTATAGTCCTATTTATCAGGGAAATATGGAGGCTTAAAACCTTGTGATGTTGAGAAACCATGACGGGTTTTAACTCATAATCCTATGCAGACGTACTTGTACATATTCAGACATTAACCCATATTCCTGAGGCTCCATAAATCAACCACAGTGTCACATAAAATGTCAGTGAAACAGGCAATAAGTCCACTGAAAGTGCTTCTATGGTAGGACCACCTTTGAACTTCATCTTAGGAGAGAATAAAAAGCCAAATGAGTTGAAAAAAGCAGTCAGGGCCTGAGGAACACTTAGAGTTACATGTAATAACACTGCTTTGGAAAAGGAAGATGTGGAGAACATCAGTGTAATCTCAAGGTAATTCCAAAAGAAATCTTAGACTTCTTTTCCTGGAGATGTTGAATGTACTCTTTAAAAGAAAAGAGTTTAAACTGACCTTTTTGCCCAAGAAGGCCAAAATTAGAGATCCTGGCTGGAAATGACAGGAAGGTAATTTTTTTTCCAAATAAAAAGATTGATGCAACATTGGGAGCTGGTGCTTTGTATAGTCATAGAACTCAGGGGCAGATTGGAGAAGAAGAGCAGATTATTTACAGTGCCTGAATGACTGGACTCTACCCTTGGTTCTCAACAGAAGCAGTACTGCCCCCTTGAGGGTATTTGGAAATTTACTGGAATACTTTAGCCACAACAGAGGGAGTTAAAAATGCTCCCTATCCTATAATGACCAAAAGTATTTCAAAGAAAATATTGTTCAGTATCTCTCATTCTACATGACTTTCAAGTATCACAGAAAGATAAGTACACCATCAGTATAAATTACATGTACGCTTACATGATATAGGAAGCTTTTTAAGAAACTAAGTAAAATAATTTAGAAGAAAGTTGTCATGAAGAAGGATACTTAAATGGGTCATTAAGCCATTAAAAATCACTCAATAATTTACTTTCTCAGCCCATAGTGTCTATTCAAAAATATCATGTATTTTCAACTATCTGTATAATTTTGAAGGGTTTCAGTATAAGAATTTAGTTTTTGACATGGCAAATATGAGTCAGAAAGGGTTTAAGATTTGGTGCCACGTGCATTGAGTTGGAGAGGAATGCACTAGTGTTTTGTTCATTTAAAATTATCGAAGTGTTTTATAAATGTGTTTCACTGGCAGCAATGCTATTAATGGTACTTATGCTACTAATAAAACACCCGTGTGTGAGTCTTTACTCATAGCTGCACATATGAAAGTACAGAATAACAGAGATGTCATGAGATTCTTAGAAACAGATTGAAGCAAATGCTATAAATTAGCAAACATGCTGTTCGTATATTTTAATTTTTGAGATATGAAAATGATGAGAGCTCACTGCTGTGAACATTACATATTGACGCGTTACATACTACTTTTGAGTAAATACTTTTACATTTGTACTGCTCCAAGAAGCTGACCACACAACTTTGTGCCAACCCTTCCACTGATGCCTGCTGCCAACTACAGGATACCATCTCCAAGACTTCCTTTCAAGTAGCAGAAACAAACGTATGTATACCTTAATGCACGGTAGATTTTTGAATGCTGAAGACGTGACTTATTAGTTTAATTTCACATATTCATGGAGCACACTGTTATATTCCAACACTTGAATATAATGTATAATGATTAAATGGGACTACTTAGCATTCCCATCCCCTTATCATTTCTTTATGTTAAAGCCTTAGAGCTTCTCTTCTCTAGTTTTTGACCAAACATAATACTTATTGCAAACGATAGTCACCCGACTACGGTAGAGAACACTAGAACTTACTCTACCTATCTACCTGTATCTTGTATCATTATCTCACCTCTTTTATTCCTACCCCCTTAGGGAATGATGACTTCTACCACCTAGTAGAAGTCATTAATTTACTCTAGGAGATATGTTTTGTGTTACACAGTGTCACTTACAAATTACATGTCATAAAGAATTATTCTGACATTATACTATACAAATAATTTTCATCTTATTTATAAGAATATAGTACTTTCTTCATTTTTTCCCTCATCCACAGCCTATTGTTTCCCCTGGGATGCTCTCCCTACATTAATTAAGGTCATTTCCCTCATTGTACCATCATATTTGCAGATATTTCTACTTTCTTATTATTTATCCTAACTCTAATTCTATTTTAGGAGATACTGTATCTATTCTTGCTCATTTATTTATTATTTAATCTTTTTTTTTTTTTGGTACCGGGGATTGAACTCAGGACCTTGCGCTTGCAAGGCAAGTGTCGGAACCACTGAGCTAAATTCCTGGCCCCTTATTATTTAATCTTAACTTGCTCATTCCTTCATTTATTTTTATACTCCTAAGGGTTATTGATCTAGTAATTTCTCATAAACCCAGACTTAGTCATTTTAGCCATGTCATAGGCATCAGGCAATTTCATTATGTCTTTCAGAATAGTTGTGTCTTGACATATACATAGGGAATCTGTATCATTTTTTAATAAATTATTTTTCTTTCATCTTGATTTCATATCAGAGTTATGAGGTTACTTCCAATGTTAAAAGCAGTAAATGAGATATTTTACCTATGAATTTCTATTTAAGATACTAAAGAGGGTATTACATAATATTTATTTGCAAAGGAAATGGTGTCCGACAGGGTTAAAACACTGTACTACGTATTCTCTGAGGTCCTTCCGTCTCTAAAATTCTTAAATTACTTGGTCTCTCTGATTTAACTAAGAATATCGAACACCTGTGGCTCCCAACACAGTAGACATTCTACTCACAAAAACTTATACCAAGTCAAATGTAGTCTTTTGGTATAATATACTTTTTGTATAAATGTCCATTTTCTATTTATAAGGGTCAATTAACTGTTTTACTGTTATTATTTCATTAAGCTGAAGAGCCCTTTCTGAACCAAGTGATGCAAACACTGGTTCTCCCAGCACAGTTGTCTGCACATCCCCATCTGTGCATTCTTCTTACCTAACTTGACAAGGTGGGGCGAGGAGGTGTTACTTCCTCTTTCAGTGCACGCTGTGACTGAGAGATTGTAGATGTCCCCTGGAGGCAGGCTGAGAAATGCAGTCATGACATTGCGTGTCACCTGCAAGATCATCAAAATCGAGGACTTGAAATTCCAATGAAAGAGCAGGCATACCACTTTACATAACTACAGGGCTATGACTGTCGTCCTGTTTCTGCTCCATGCTGCAATCCATCGATTAGATCATGAATAAGTTATAGTGTCTGAAAATCACATAAATTCCTCAACTGGGCCAAATGCAAAGTGACTTAAAAATTCATAACATATATCAAATAGAACAATTTTGTAATTCGTTCCCTTATTTGGAATAGATGTTACTATATTTTCCTATGTACAACAGATTTTAAAAATACAAAGACGATTGCTGGGTGATTAACATTACATGCATTCTGCGACACTCGGAAGAAACCTAGCTGTGTTAATAGATACTTGACTTTCCACAGAAAGACTGTATTTCCCATCTTCCCAACAGCTAGAGGGGACCACGTGATGCAACTCTGACCAATGGATTCTAAGCAGAAGTCACATGGGTAAGTTCAGTTCAGTTCCTATCTTGGAAGGACTGGGTTTCCATGTGCTTTCTTTTCTCATTCTTCAGGCTGGAGTGCTAATGTAATGATGTTAAAGCTTTCCCTATGCAGATGAGAACTCTACATAGAGGCAGACAAAGCAAGAAAGTAGAGAGGACCTGAATAACTTTTACAGCAGATGTGTCTGTTAGTCCTATATCAGGAAAAGGACATAAACTATATTGTTTGATTTATGCTTTTTTTGTTTGTTTGTATTATAGTTGTTTAGCCTGTATCCTAATGTTAAAAAGCTTAATAAGCTACCCATGGTGGCACATGCCTGTAATCCTAGCTACTCAGGAGGCTGAGGTAGCAGGATCAAAAGTTCAAAGTTACCCTGGGCAACTTAGTGAGTCGCAAAATAAAAAATGAAAAGGGTTTGGATGTAGCTCAGTGGTCAAGGGACCCTGGGTTCAGTCTCCAGTACCGGAAAAAAAAATTTAATGAACCAGGAAAAAAGAAAGTAATACTCTGGTGATACATGGAGAAAACACTGAAACATGTTAATTGTAGTTTTCTTGACAGTGTTTGGCTTCCTGAAGGAAAGCCCCAAATCACAACTATAAATATGACTGAAATCAAACTTTCAAATATTAGAGTTTTCTGTTTAAGATTCAAAGGTAAGCTCTATGAAAAGACAAATTTAATTTGCGGGGGGTCAATTTATGTCCAGAACCAAAACTAGTGCCACACGGCAACATTTGTTTAAATGTCTCTACCAATGTTTGCTTAATGGTTTTCAACAGTTCATCCAACTCCATGTTCAGATGCCCAATACTGGGATTCAAAGACACTTACGCTCTTTTTAATTTTCTTCTTTCCTTCCGCGACAACCATCCAGTGCAACATTCTCGAGTGGGACAGGTCAGTTGTGTCATCCCCATACGTCCAGCTGATGTACAGAAGACTGTTGAAATATTCCACGGAAGTGATTTCTGGAGCCACAGGGGCTACAAGGGAGAAAAGAGGTACCACTTAGAATAAGGGACTATTGGGCTGGGGATTTAGCTCGGTGGTTTCACGGCCTGCTTTGCAAGGGCAATGCCCCGAGTTCGACCCCGGTACCAAAAAAAAAAAGAATAAGAGACTATGAATTAAAGTTTTTATCAGGAGGGCATGGAATCCCATATGGAATTAATTTAAGGAACTGAAGCTCACACCACAGGGCAGCTCTGGATTGCCTGGACCCCTTAGGAACAAAATGGAGCTTGGGGGGCACAGGATGGGCACTTAGTTCATGGAACCCCACACTGTGCATCTCAGACACAAGACAGCCAGACCCATCTGTATCTCAAGATATCAAGTTCTTGTATACGAATCACAGCGAACAAGATTCCTAAAATATTTGCTGGTTTGAGTTATTCAAGATGTGATTGAAATATATTGTGTATTTTAAATCAAAAAGTTTATTATATATATATCTGTTTTCTCTTCAGATCGTATAAATCTACCCCTTTTATTAAAAGTTTATTATAGTAAAAGACATGTTGATACTAATCACCTTCAACATTTTCTTCCTTGCTTTGGGCACACTTATTCCATCATTCTTGCCACTTTCTGAAGTAGTTTTGGAAGTCCTCTTTAGTGAAAATATTTATCAGGTATGATAAAGAATATGGTGACTACTGCTCATAAAAGTTGAAAAGCAGGTTCATAAAGACATTGCGGTGCATCCTCACCTACCCTATTCCCCGGATCTGGCACCTTGTCACTTCTAGTTCTTCACCAAAGTCAAAATTATCGTGTAAGGGAAACATCTTGAATGGATTTGGGACATCCAGGCAGCCATGATGGAACAATTAAAATTACTCACAAGAGGGGACTTCCAGAGTGCTTCAGAAAGTAGAAAGAATGATGTGATAAGTGTGTGGGAAGTGAGGGGAATGCTTTGAGGGGGATTAATGGCAGTGTTCCTTTTATCGTAATACATTAAAAAATTTTAGCATTCACTGTATTTTTGATCACATCTCATATTTGGTACATTAAACAATTATAATTAAAGATATTGCTGAGGTTATTGTACAAGCAGTACTGGAAAACTTGGGGCTCTGTAATATTAAATCTCTCTCATTAGGAAATAGGGTAGGTAATAGAAAACAATAGCACCGTAAGTAGAAGACAAATGTTATTTCCATAAGATAACAAGACTATATCATGGACAGTGTCACACCTCATACTTTGCAGAAAGTAGGTTCTTACTAAATGTTGCTGAAGTAATAAGGAAAGAAGGGATTTTTTTATCATGCCACAAAGCTAAATTCTAACATTGAACACATTCCTTTATTTTGTATTTAACACATTTAAATTTTAAAAATCCTGCTAACTGAGGAGAGTTCATCACAAGCTTTATAATACATGAGCTCTGAGAGCATATTTTATTTTTAAAAGTAATTGATAATTCTAGAGATCTGAAGAAAAAAAATACATGATTGAATTTAAAGTTGAGTCTGAGATGCACCACAAAACTAACTGAAATATTTGGAAGAAAATTTGTATAGATCATACAGAATTGTTTTTTCTAATGCACTGCTAATATTTATGGCAAACATTCATAATTGATTATGTTTCACTGAAGAATTTGTAATACCTGTACATAGAGTAAAAAGCACATCCTGGTTGGTGTGAAATAGGAGTAACATTTCTAGCATTGTTTTACAATAAAGCCTTGAAATATCAACAATGCTGACAGCACATTTTGGAATACTCTAATTAAAAAAAGCTATGGTTTCTTTATAATTACTTAATATATTCCAAATGTACTTTCTCATACCACTTATGCATACATTTCTCCAAAAGATATTTTCTCACGTCTAATTTTAGCAAGGACAAGAAACATTTTAAAAATGAAAAAACCGAGAAGTACTTATCTCCCTCCCAGAAGCACTACGTCTTGTCTTTAGACTTTTGTACTCCATGTTACCGCTTTAAAAATCTCGTTTATTGCTAAAAGGCCACAAGATGTCACTATTTGTTAATCATTACTTGGTATATAGCATACTTTCTATGAACTTGGTTTGCAAAGTCACCTAAGAAAGATAGTAGACTTGAGATCCCGATAAGTCACAATTCCATGTTCCTATTTCCTTTTATACTACACAATTGGGCAATTTGCATTAAGATGCAAAGCACAGAAAAGGAATGTGCGAGATGCTTATTTGTTTTAAATAAGATCCTTACTTGGAATGATGTGGGAAAGACCCCCAAAAAGCTAGAATGTCAAGTGGTTTTAAAAACAAGCATAAATACATATATTTTAACAGTTATTTATATTATATAATTTAATTCTGACACTGCACTGTGAGGCATTGCTGCACCCATTCCATAGAAGTGGGAATGAACACTATCTGTGTCAACAGAAGATGAACTGAACATAGTAGACTGCTCACCAAGGCAAACAGCTCATTTATTAACCATGGTTATCCAGACTTGCTATGTTTCCCTGAACACACTTAATCCCACTTTAGTCAGCTCCCACCTTGAAGGATAAGACCTGTACCGCTTCAGCCAGGGCACTGACTCCTTTTAATGTCTTATCTCTGATGGCCCCATGCTGAGGCCATGCAAAGACTGGGTCTGGGGGTGCTAATAGACAAAGGCAAAATTTTGGAGAGTGCTGTTGTTGAGGGAAACTCAAGATCAGAAAGATAATTTGCTCAAAATTCCACAGCTAGCAATGAGCAGATCCAGGCTCAGATGCTATGTCTTTTTTAGAGAGCTGTCCTGATTGAGAAGGAAAGCATAATCTCTAAAGTTAATCTCAATAAAATTAAACTGTAAGAATTACTGATATAGTCAAATTTAATTATAATTAAATATGTGATTATTAATATAGCCAAGAGCTTAATGCAGTGCATGTCAAATGATTGCTATTTTCTCTTCTTCTGCTATTCTTTTACTTATCTACTCTAATCTTACTAGTTAACTTCTAGTGCAAAAGTGCTCAGGATATTAGTAAAGAAAAGTGAGATATTATGTAAGTTAATTGTGTAAAAATTCACCTCAGATTAATTTTATTTGTTTTATTGATAAATTTCTACAAAGTTAAGCTAGATGACCAGTGAGGAAAGGATTTTGCCAAAATAATTCATCATCTGAAAAATATTTTCTGTTCTGTTTTCTCTGTCTAACAAAAAGTTCTTGAAAATCTTATTCAAACAACCAGGGTGAGTATTTCTTTGATCAATGTCCTCTTTTCATCGCTTTCTCTGATAGATGATGATGTAATTACATAATTTGAGGCTCTTGAGGATCTAAGACCCATAGTTATTTAAGTACCTAAACTCTATGCTATGTATTTTGCTAAGTAGCTTATTCAATAGAGAAATAAAGATAGATAATAATAGTAGATCATTGATACCATTCTCGTCCCCATTTTACACATGAAGAAAACTGAGCTTTAGAAAAGATATGATTTGGGGCAGAGTCGTGACTCAGATCTAAGTCTTTTTGTCTCCAAAGCCTTTTTTAAATCTTCTGCAATAGGCTGTATTACAGTCTGCCTGTGACTTTAAAAATTATTAATTAGTGGGGCATTGTGGTGCATGACTGTCATTCCGGCACTTTGGGAGGCTGAGTCAGGAGGATTAGAAGTTTGAACTCAATCTAGGCAACTTAGTCACTTTTGAGACCCTGTCTCAAAATAAAAATATAAATGAATAAATAAATAAATAAAAGCACTGGGGATGTGGCCCTGGGTTCATTCCCCGCTATTACAAGGGAAAAGGCTTAATTAATAAAGAATCAGAAGTGGAGAATCTCTAGCACACATAATTAACACACGGGTGAAGTCAATTGTGTGCAGTACGGAGCCAAAGTATGGAGCCTGCCGCATCTCTATTCCAGTCAGTCCCAATGGGGGAGCTCAAGGACAGTGACTCAGGTTAAAGCTGAGGGGCAGTAACTTAAAATAACAATGATATTTTAATTTTTAAAGATTATCCACTAAACAAATAATGAATGATCCTATCTTTCACGACCAATGCTCGATCAGGGGTAGGTGAATGGTCCTTTCTGGAGATGAAACTCCTTGGTGTCTGCTCAAAAGAATGTTCTCTCTCTCAACCATTCCCACATGCCACTTACCTGTTATAAAACTTATGGTGGAGCTGTCACAGCAGCTCAACTCCGGATCTCCCCACGTCACCATGGTTACCCGAAAGTTGTAGTACCAGGCTGGCAACAGATTAGCTATTCTCTGAATGAGGGGAAGAAAAAATAAAAAAGCAAGGAGACAAAAGACTAAGGAGAAAATAATATTTTTGCAGTGCGTTTACTTTCATGAGGTTATCAAAAGATCAATAAACAATTTTTGTTCTTTTATGTCTCGTATTTCAATTTTTTCTGAAATGAAGTAAGCCATAAAATGAAATGCAAAAGATGGAATGTTCAAAAATGATTCAAAGATACAGAAAAAATTATTTCTAATTTTGGCCTCACTTTGTAAGCTCTTAAATTATATTACACAATGAAATGGGAGTTATTTTTAAGTGACTATACATGAAATACATCACCTTATTTCTATGACAAGTGGCCCTCACAACTTTGTATTCTTCCAACATAGACTGTGAGCAGGAGGGATGTTGGGTAGTAATTACCAGGCTCACCAACTGGGTAGAGAACTATTGTGTACTTCATATACAACCCATGGGTGGCCTACACTTTTAAAAATTATTCCAGATTCAGAAAGAACAATCAGTATCTATGCCCTTAAAAACCATACTGTAATGACCTAAAAATATAGATATTTAACTGATCTATAGCTATCCAGAAGAATCAATCACCACAAGAGACAGTGTCAATTCACTGCTGAAGGCCGAAGGGAAATCCCTTGTGTTTTCTTCCGGGCTGAGAGGAATAATAAGCACTTGATAACTCTACTCTGCATTGAGGAAATTCACTAGGAAAAAATGGTTGATGAACAGATACTTTCACTTCAGGGTGAAAGCTAGTTTCTCACAACTTTCTCTCTTGAAAGACAAAATCAGAAGCAAAGAAATCCAAACACAACTACAGCAAAAGTAACTAAAAACATCTTGAAAGTAGAAAGCTACATATGTGTATTTACAAAATGATTTAATTTACAGATAACTTATTCTGACACATTTGGTAACAGGGACATTTCATCAGTTTCCACAGGTAAGGAGGCAGTTTGTGAGGCAGGATTACCACGGATGCTGTTAAGGAGACGGTTGCTGCTATTTCATAGTAGGTTGTCCACTCTGAAGTCATTGTCACAGGGTTGAAATAAAACATTTCAACTACATATTTTCTAAATACTCCTAAGTAAGGTCTGGTCCAGCTCAGGACTACCGCTGTTGGACCCAAGGGATAGAGCATTAAATCCTTTATTCCCGTGGGAACTATAAAGAAAAGGATGGGGATCGAGGAAAACAAATCAAGAAACAATGGTTAATATCTTAGCAATGACTAAGGACTTTAAACTTCTGTTTCATTATCCATTTTCATTCTTCTGATATAACCATTGGAAACCAAGGTAAATATATTTGCTTCTACCTTTTTCCCAAGTAGGAAATGCTAAGGATGTTTCCTAAATACATAATTCTAGTTATTTATTAGAATCAGCCCTTCATATTAGCAAGCTCCACATCTGTGAACTCAATGAATTGTGGATAGAAAATATTTCTCCACCTATGTATTGAACATGTGCATACTGCTTTCTTGTTATTATTCTTTAAATAATATAATATAACAACTATTTACATAGCATTTAATTTGTGTTAGGTTTTATAAATGATTAATCTAGTGATGGCTGAAGGCATTGGGATGGTGTGTGAAGATTATGTGCATATACCATGACATTTTATATTAAGGGACTAGATCATCCATGGATTTTGATATCTGTCGGGGGGAGAGCACGCATGTGTGGATGTGTATTTTTATGGGATGGTTCCAGGAAGCAATCCCCTCATGGATCCTAAGAAACTACTGTATGCTGAAGGTAGACTACTGGTTGACCTCATATAGCACTTTCATGTAAGATGATAATAAGTTGAACGTAAGATGAAAATAAGTTGAACTTGTATATAGCACCCCTTTTATGGCTAGCAACTTACCAATGGCGAATGTCACAGGATCTGAAGGTGGTCCAATCAAAGGTCCTTTTCTTAGGTACACCACAACCTGGTACTGGGCACCAGGAACTAGATTTTCAATAATAGGTTTGCTTGAATTCACCTTTAAACCAAAAACCCAAGAAGTTTTATTTAGAGTGGGGCTTTCTGAGTGGGAGACAGGGGCTGACATAGTATTCAAGGATTTTTTTGTCAAATCACAGTTGACTTTGAAATCCAGAAGCCTTTAATCATGCTAGGGAAGGTCAGATTTTAAAATTAAGAATAATTATAGTTTATGTGGACCCTGAAGGGAACCCAGAGCATTCAATTCTATGGCTTGATTTAATAAGCCCCATGAACTGCTCTGTATGCATCAACGTCAATTGTAACTCCACACACTAGAGACATATAAGCTTCTAACCATAATCAAATCAGCAATACCATAAGGATACTCTGACATCCTAAACTGTAGTTTCAGCTGATTACATGCAAAGATCAGTGCAGAAATGTCTTTAGTCTCTCATCACTTAGAAGCATATAATATCTAATTATAGAGATGGAAATGACCTCAGAGATTATTTAGTTCAAATCTCTCATTTAATAAATTGAGAAAGTAAAGCCAGAAAGCAGCCAAGGTCACGTATTTAAATTCACTGTTGGGACTAGAATCCTGGCATTGTGACCTCTAATCTACTACGGGCAAGTTGCTGAGTGAAGCATCAAGATATTCTGCACCTGTAAACACTTTTGGAAGTCTGTTGTAACCTTAAAATTAATGTGAGAGAGAACATTTCTCATTTAGATGAGCTCTTCTTTACTGTTCTTTAAAAAAACTGTAGGTTATGTACAAATACTATATAGAGAGAAACAGTGAGAATATATAGATAAATAAAAACAATGTGTTAAAATTGAATGTTGGTGTGCACAAGTATTGATGATACAGCTAAAGCTTAAGAAGTGAGCTGGTTTGCCTTTTGGTGCTTCTAATATTTAAGAGTTTTGCTTAGTGGAAAGAACACATGTTCTTTATTTGAACTGCCTGAAATCAAATCCTGAGTATACTTTGTATAAGACTGAGGATATATTAATAATTCATTTAAAAATTTTATTTTGGTGTACTTCTTGCTAAAATGTAAGTAACAATACCTCACAGAGTTTTGAGAACCCTAAAACCTGAGTATCAAGAAATGTTAAATCCTTTGATCAAATTTTGGCCTCTAGAATACATAAAATTGCAGAATTGTTGCAGGAAGGAACACAAATCGATGGAGAACAATACTATTGACATTAACTTATGCTATAAGTTTTTTTTTAAAGTGTTACTAAGGTTTTAAGGATAAACAGTACTGGTAATATGATATGAGATTTAAACTGATTATACCAAATAGGAATTATATAATTTGTTTGCTACAACTTGCTCTACGTAAAAGTAGGAGCAGCATAGCAATATTTCTTTTCCATTGGCTTGAACAAAGTAAAAATTAAATTGAATTAATAAATTAGCATTTCCATTCCTTTTTTTCTATTTACACATTCACATAAGATTTTCTTGTCCAAGTTTTACACTTTTAATTCTACTAGGATCCTTATAAGACTGTCAACAAGATATCCTCTTCTGATGGAATCCCTCAAGACCCAAGCTGAGTGGAGAACTGAGTGAATGTGTTTGTTATGCACAACTAAGCAGGACTTCCTCTTATCCTTTTAGAATATTTTCTAAGCCAGGTACAGTGGTGTGCTTGGGAGGCTGAGACAGGAGGATGGCAAGCTCAAGGCAAACCTAGGCACTTAGCAAAAATCTGTCTTAAAACAATAATAATAATAATAATAATAATAATAATAATAATAATATCTGGGGCTGAAGCTCAGCACTCCATGGGTTAAATCTCCAGTTCACCACCATTATCACCTCCCAAAAAGTAACTAAAATAAAATACATTCTAAGTGACAAAACTAGCACACGGTCATTTAAAAATTGTTCACAAAAAAGAAGAGCAAATGAAGTAAACTGGAAGTCTTCTGTTCTCTTTCCACAGGTCTTGGCATTTTGGTGGGAGTTCTTCTAGCCCTTCCTCTAACAGATATACATAAATAACATGCTACTCACCATACATGCTTTAGATCACCAATACTTAACACTTTGCAGACATCCTACCATACCAGTAAATGCTAACTTAACTCACCTACCACTAATTTTGCCTATTTAGAATATTTAGAATAACCCAGGGCATACAGAGTATAGATTGTTTTAGAATAATGTTAAAGTTTCTTTAGTTTATACTATTTTAGTCAGTAGTTGAGTCTAGCTATTCACATGAATACTTGGAATCATAGCCACTTAAATACTGTACCCTAAATTTAAAAATTCATATTAGAGAAATTTTAATTTTATTAAAAGAAGCAGCTATATTTATTATTTAAAGAGAGCAATGGTATTGCAAAATACTTGCATTGGCAACAAATTATGAACACCAATTTCCCTTCAATCTCTGAATATCTGCTGAGCTGCCAATTTATATTGTATTTACACTATCATCCCACTGTGCTTGTCTGTCTGTCTATGTGTCTGTCTATGACAAATAACTGTGTATATTTATGGGGTACAATATGATGATTTGATCTATGTATGCATTATAGAAAGATTACAGCAAGGTGATTAACATATCTGCCATCTCATCATTTTATCATTTTATTTTTGTGATGAGAACATTAAAAGTCTGTTTTAGCAATTTTGAAATACATAGCACATGATTATTACCTGGGGTCATGATGTAGTCCAACAGCTCATTAAAACTCACCCCTCTAGTTAAACCATACCCTTTGATTGATCTCATCCCTTTCCTTTCTCTCCTCTTCCTATAGTTTCAGCCTCTGGTAACCACATTTCCCTATTTCTATGAGATTGACTTTTGTAGGTTGCACATATATGTAGATAATGCCATATTTGTCTTTGTGTGTCTGGCTTATTTAACTTAGCATAATATCTTCCATGTCCAATGATATTGTTGCAAATGACAAAGTTTTCTTTTTTAAAAAGGTGTATCATATTTCATTATATGTATGCATTTGGGTATTGATGGTCACTTAGGTTGCTTCCATATTTTGCCCTCAGAAATGAACATCAGGGGTGTAGATGTCTCTTCTATATTCACATCATTTTATTTATTCTTGAGTTCTGTGCAGATGTTTTGAAAGTGAGACAAACATTCTCCTGCATTTTGTTAAGTAATACATGCTTTGTTTTCTACAAGACCATTCCACACTTCTCTCAATTTCTGCTCATTTTAACTTTCTAATATTTTTTTCTGATTAGTTTAATCTTCAATCCCAAGAATTCAATTGAATTCACTGTCACTCCAAATAAGCGCCAGTCCTACCCACCTCAGCTAAAGAAGTGAGAGCAAAGATGTACCAGAGAGAAGAACTGAAAGAAATATAAGATAGACTGTGAAATAGTCGGGTTGAACAAGCTAATAGTGAAGGTTTTTTTAAGTCTGAAATGTTTCTATGTCCACTTTCTGTCATCCTTTCTCCACTAGCTCTTGCTGTACCTTTACTCTAGTTACTTAGCTTTTCTGTGGAGGGCCTCTGGAGCTGCTCTACCCTTCTCCCTTAAACCAAAAAAACACCCTGCTTAGTCGAGACAATAATAAAAGCTAACACATTTAAAAATGCACTTATTATCACTATGTTCCAGGCATTGCGCTAAACATCAAGTCATTTTGTCTTTATTACCAGCTCTAAGGTAGCTTTGGCTTCTCCTATAGCACAGACGAAAACCCTACAACTTACAGAGGTGAGAGAGTTGCTCAGGTTCTCACAGCTGGTAGCTACTGAGGTCATATCTGAAGCCCATATTTGTCTGCTGTCTGCTGGTGGACACTACCATCTGGATTCTGTCAGGATGGTGGCTGGGCAGCACATGTAATACACAGACATAGCACTGGCTGGGAACTCAGATTTTTGGGCCCTGGTCACAGCTCTGATACTAACCAGTTGTGTGACTTTGGGGAGGTCCCTTAAATATTCAGTCTCTTAGTTATACCACATCTTCATTTGAAAGCTAAAAGGCTGATTTGTCTTTGTCTGATTTTGCTAATTAGTTCTGATACATTCCTAATGTATAGTACATTGTCAGAAAAAGGAACCAAGTCAGATCACAAATAAGAGCAAATACACATGCATATGTTATGTGACTCTTTCCAAGTCTGAAATTTATGATTGCGTATCTTTGGAGAGAATACTGAGGACACATTTACTTTGAAGAATTATCTGAGTTTAAAAAAATATAACACCAATTTGACTCTGATTGTATGTTCAGCATATGTTTATAAAGGAGTAGCACTACCATGGTTATTGGGAGGGATGTATTACAAAACTCTTTCCCGAGAACATTTGCATAAATTCATAAAGCTTATTACAGTAAAAGACACATTGTCAAGAACTATGAAATAAGTGTGTTTGAAGGGAGGGGGGAGTAATATGAGTATCTTGAGGGAGACTAGTACAATATGTCTTTTACTGTAATACATTTTAAAGAAATATTCTCCATATGTTTTGATTACCCTGCAATAACCAACTGTTTGCATCAATTTCTGTCAAATAAAAACACTGAGGTGTGTGCTTATACACCTTGTTCACAGGATCTGGCACTGTGTGACTTTTGGCTCTTCCCCAAAGTCAAAATGACCATGAGAGGTAAAGGTTTTGAATTGATTCAGGATATCGGGGCAGCCTTGATGGTGTAACTAAAGACACAAATGAGTACTTCCAGAGCTGCTTCAGAAAGGGGCAAGAATAATAGGATAAGGGTGTTCAAAGCAAAGGGGGATTACTTTGAGGAAGATTAATAGCAATGTATCTGTGAACAGTATTTTATGAACATACCTTGAGTATATATATATATATACATATGATATATATGATATATACGATATTACAATATCTATGATTATATATGATGAGGATATATTTAAATTAGGACATTAGCAGTGATTCTCATGGATCATCAAGGTAACATAAAGAGATGATGTTATGGCGCAGTCAGTGATAGAGGCAAGTAGAAGGAGTGAGACTAGAGAACAATGAAATCATTATGATCAGTGATGGCATGAGCATCCC